TTGTCTTTATACATAACTATAGATAATTGGTAGGTTGAAAACTTTGCTAATAAGTTAGCCACGTGTTCCATATGTTGATGATTTGTAGTATAAGTTGGACATGTGGCACATATATATAAAACTTGTTTTGTAAGTAGATATGTGTCCTATGAGATGGACATGTATTTGAGATCCTATAGAACATTGCCATGGAGCTCTTAGTTACATAGAGTATATGGAGACAATTGTAAGGCCTTCTTCATTCTTATCAATACCTTTCTTGCTTCTAATCTAGTTTCAAGCATCTCTAATTTTTTTCTCTCTTGGAAAGATCTATTTTAGTTTCTTCTTGAATATTCAAATTTATTTTTTATTTTTATTTTTATTTTTATCTTTCTTCTAAAATTGCCTCATTTGTTCCAAACTTATGTTCTTAAAGTCATATCAAATCAAAAAAATTCCAAACCTATATTCATAAAAATCTTTTTTAAGTTTTTTTTAGTCGTTCTCTTAATCAAAAGAAAACATCCTATCTATTTTAGGTGCATGGTTTTATGTATTAGGTTCTAATTTTGGCCATAATTCACAACTAATCTTCTATGGGTATCAATCTATTATTATTAAAAATAATTTCTTCTAAAACCACCCTTCATTTTTATTTAAAGATGTCTAATTTATATATATATATATATATATATATATATATATAACTTTTTTTTTCTTATTTATGGATCTACAAAGTAAAATAATTTTTTCAATAAAAATCAAAAAATATACACTATTTTTTAAATTTCTTAAGTATTAAACCTATAATATTTAAAATATATATATTATATTTTCAATAAATTCCTTTTAGATTTTTGGTCAATATATATTCTTTCATCTAATAGTCACGTTACAATACAACACTGTTGTTCTACTTGTAGCTAAATGCTTGTGACGTGTATTTAGTGATGTTAGTAGAGAAAAAAAGACAGTAAGTAGATCTATTAATAAAAGAAATTAAAGCTGAAATTAACATAAGATATTTAAATGGTTTAATATTGAAATAATTGGTGGATATTTTGGCATTAAAAAGGATTTGAAATTCATTAATATAAAAAACTTGTAAGATATAAAAATGAATGAATATAAGATATTTAGGAAGGGTTGGGAACTATATGGTATATTCAATAGTATAAGTAACCACTTTACCAATGACTCTTTTTATGGAATATACTTGTTGAAATTCAAAGCAAATTGTGGATTAAAACAAATAGCAATCTTATTTAAAATTTGTAGTCGTAAGGACAATGCATGTGGCCTTCATTGCCAATATATATATATATATATATATAGTACCTATAGTATTTGAAGCAAAATAATATGTTAAAAGTAGTAGAACGGTCTTATGCGTGGTTTGATGCAAAAGTGTTTTGAAAATGAAATTCAATCAAGTTTTCTTTTCATTAATATATTATCATTATTATTATTATCATTATTTAAAGTAATTTTTAAAATATATTAGCTTCATATTTAAAAAAATTCATAGCTTTAACTATCGTTAACTGCATTTTCTACCATATTCTTAGCACAAATGAATTTTCTTTTCATTGCACATTCCAACTGCCAACCAAATCAGCATTCTAATCTGTTATTTGCTCCCAAATATTAGAACTTGTAGATAGCTTTAGTAATTTTCTCTTTTATACTATATATATATATGTATAAGTATATATAGGCATATACGAATTTTAGTACTTGCATATTAATATTGAAATTAGGATTTTGAAAACCTTAAAAAAATTAATTGTGAAGAAATCAATATCAAAATAAAGATTTTAAAAACGTTTTTGAAATGACATTTATAATTTTATTGAGTTTCAGTCATACAAGCATGCATTTAAAGCTTTTAGAATTGATTGTGTCAATTTGTAATTTAACTGCAATCATGTTTTGAATATGCTGATAATTTTTTATTACCAATTGAAATGTTTTGTGTAAAATCATGTACTAAGTACATAGACTCTATTTCAATCAGTTTTTTACACCTCCATGAGAAGGAGCATTTTGGATTTTTTTGTTCAACCAATGATCAAATTTTTCAGTATAGTTATTAATATCTTCAATAAGGATAAATCAATGAAAAGGTAAAAATAAAAATGTTGAAACAACACCTCTTACTTTGTTAATAAATTTTTGAATGTGTTCAGTAAAATAAAATAAATACTTTATCAAGATTAAAAAATTCAAATATATTTTTTAAAAATTACAGCTATTCAACTTAGTTTACAAATAAATTAAAAGTATTGAAAATAGTGAAAGAAAAAAGATTTTTTTGTACTTTTTAAGTTTGTAATTCTTCATGGTTTCTTGTTATTCCTAATTTAAACTTTTTGTGATGTCTTGCTTTTATATTCACTACTTGAACTCCTAACATCCTTCCATTGAATTTCGTCGAAGCCTTTAAGTTATGTTTTTATCATTGCATGCAATATTCGTGTTATACTCTAACAAATATTGCAGTCTTCAATTGCTGGGCAAATCAATAGTATGCCTTCATAACACATGGTCCTAGACAGTTTCGGGGATGAATTTAGAATTCACATGGAATAGAGCTACAAACTCAGTTTTATTTCAATTTTCTTAAAATAATTAAAGATTTATTCACATATTTTATAAGCAGTGTCAAAGAAATGAAATCTTTATATCAAAGCCCCTCAACAACTTCATCTTATTCATTCAATGAAATATTATTCTTAAGACAACATTATACAAACTAATGCATACATGTACGCTCATTCTCTCTCACACGTATTAACCACAAACGTATCTCTCTCACACACACTCTCTCTCTCTCTCTCTCTATATATATATATATATATATATATACATAATTAAAATAAATTAAGAAACAGTCCATGTCATAGAATCACATCCTGCAAAACATCCAACCATGTGAACTTGCAGGTTACCACTCATCATCCAACAAGTCATCATCCATCCAAGATGTTTTCATCGAAAGATGTGGAGAGAGTACCACTTATGACCCAACGGTATATTATCATCCAAATTTGTGTGATCATCCGATGCATGTCTATCATCCAACCATGTGAATCTGCAGGTGAGAGAGAGATCGACGAGTCCAGGTGTACCCTAAATGCACAAAGCAAGCAAGCAAGCAAGCAAGGAATGGATGAATGTATGGATGAATGAATGAATGAATCAGGCAAGGAAGGGAGGGAGGGAGGGAAAGGAGAGAAAGTGAAACAGGAGACTTCCTTCCTTCCTCACTGACTGACTTACTTGGGGATGCACCATACAATACAATACAATCCCCTCAAAGGAGGTGGGATGGGGGGATTAACCACCCTCACCGGACTCACTCACACCCCCATCGACGTCGCCGTCTCGCCTTACTCACTCACTCCTTCCCTCCCTCCCTCAGTGACTGACTGACTGACTGAGCCAAGCAATGAGCAGCACCACAGCCATGCCACCCTTTTCCCTGCCTATTCCCCTCCCTCTCTCGGGATCCGATGAGGCTGCAGTGAGAGAGTGAGAGAGAGCCGGATTATCCTGATCCTGCAGCAGCAAAGGGGGATTTGCTTTGCGAGGAAGGCAAAGTGGGATCCCAGGGTCAAGCAGGGGCTTTGTCCTTTTGTATAATTGCATGATGTGGGAGAGGGGGGAGTGAGGGTAAGAGAGAGAGAGAGAGAAAGGGAGAGAGCAGGAGGAGGAGGGGGAATCACATGGTCAACATGGGATGTACTACGGATGGAGACTCTGCCCCTGTTACCATGTTGCTTAGGAACCACCACCACCACCCAGTACTACTTCTACTACTTCTACTACTCCCTTGCCTTGCCCCCTCCCCCCTCCCCCCTCCTTATCTGCACTACTCCACTCCATCAATTACTCCCCCCTGCCCTGCCTCCTGCCCCTCTGCCCCGTCATTCACGATTCATTCACGGTCGCGATCCCCATTTATTTTGATTACCCAGATGGTGATGTGTGCCAGCTCCTCCTCCGCCGGCTTAGACAAGCGGTGAATCCCCACTCAGTCGTCTTTCTGCAGGGAGATTATTCCTGCTGCAAAGTTTGATTGCAGACGTGAGTGTCAGATCCCCCCACCCCACCCTACACCATCGCTTGGATTGAAATCCACCCGCCGTCTTGCTGCACTTCAGAGAGAGAGAGTACCTTCGTGGGTGACAGACGGGGCAAAAAGGGCTGGGGAACGCAGTAGCAGTCGAGATCAGAGGGCATGATTTCTCCCTGCCGACATATGAAAATTCGACGTTTCATCCTGTGCGAGGAAAAAGTCGAGCATTCGTTTGGCGCTTGTGGAATTTGAAGCTACACCCCCCATACTGCCTTGGTATGTCAACAATGTGGTTCATTCCTCATTCTGCAGCGAGTTCAGAGAATTTGGTCCGAACTAGTCTCGCTGGCTGTGCACAGCAAAGAGAAGGGCAGAGTCGAAGAATAAACCCACGCACGAATCCGACATTATTAACATATGTAGCGCTTTTAGAACGCAAAAATAATTGCTGGCGGTGGAGCTGCTGCATGGCATCATCCTCTTCGAAGGAGATCCATCGCTGTTGATTTAGGCTGCCGCTACCCGGTGGGACCTTACCGCAGTCTAGAACAGGACCAACGTACTGATTGCCCGGTAAATCGCCACTTTGTTGCAGCAATAACAGAGCACAAATGGTTCAGAACATAAATTACAATAAAGATAAAGTAACTTTGTTGATCGAATTGCAATGGCACTGCTCATTAGAGACCTAGACTCTGGGAAGGATTAATCCACAGTGCACGGATTTTGATGGCAATGGGAGCCTCTCATGAACAACCTTCGATGACCGACGGCTGCTTTTAGCGGAAAGTCCTTGTTCACCTTGTTTCAAGGCATTGCCATTTTCATTGTCATCCATCCAAAATTATTACTTAAGAAAGCCAAGAATCTTGACGTCCAGGAGCATGACTGGCCACAGGGGTGTTCTCAGTAGTATCGGCAATGACGACGGTGATGACGCAGTTGTTTGCTTAGACTGGCAATTGATCTGGTTATGACCAGTAGGACACCCACCGCAGCATCCCGTGTTGATGTAGGGAGAGGCACCAGCCGAAACTTCAATTTTACTCTTCTTTTTGTAAGAGCTCACATCCGTCGTCTGACATGAAACTCTTTTGGTGCTAAATTTGGGCCTTCTTTGCAGTGGGTCTGTCTGTTGGTCGCCTACCTCGCCCCCCCCCACGTTTTTCCAGTATCACTTGGGAGAGGCGCAAGAGGCGCCAGGTCTGGTGTTTCCCACATTGAAGGCTAGGTGGAGGGGAGGAGGGGATCATTTTGTGAGACGTAGTTGCTTGCGCTTGTGACGTCGTGAATCTTTTATTTTCTATTTCATATTTTTATGTGCTCGTTATCCTTCCAGAACGTCCGCTTCTTTCGTCCATGCCTTCGCTGCTACGCTTGCCTATCCTTCGCTCAGGTTCTGCTGCACATCCGTAGGTTCGATACTGTAGCAGGTCACGTGCATGCAGTGAGGTACACCACATTGCGCAGCTAATATTCTTGCGAGTGACAAAGTTTAGGAGTGAGTGTTACGAATGCCTCGCTGTGGTGGGGAAGATCCGTTCGGCATTGCAACCTTCCCCATCACAGCTGATTAACCCTAGATCAGTATCCTGGCGCTTCATTAATCGCAAATTTATTCACGACCTTGGATCATTCACAAGTCAGGTGTTGGGGATGTCCCCAGCACCATCTGCCTAGTTGCATTTGTATCTTGCTGCGATTTTTCTTGTAATCAGGGGCTGATTAACTTCTTTTCTCTCCGTTTCTCGAAGTTATTACGTGACCGTCGAAGCATTGGGGAAGAAATGAGCGGTTGCTACGTCATAGCAACATTTGGTCCAGTTTTTTTGAACTTCCACTCATCGACTGGTCTCGCGCATTGTCGTCACATTCTAAAACCGTTTCTGAGATTATCAAACCTTAAGACACGGGAAGATTCGTATGGGCTAAGTGAGAGGTTATGATTTCGAGGGTCGGGTCTGATCAAGCTGTACTTTTATATGGCGTGACGATAGTGTTTTCGTCCTGACGTGCAATCTTGGAGCTGCAAGATTTTGCATAGTGCGCTGTGTGGAGACATTGTACTTATTCTAATCTACGGTGACGATGATCTTTCTGTTAGAAATCCGCTGCACTTAGGCACTTGTTGTTCTACGTGTTTGACCTGTTGGGTGTGCACTAGAGGGTTTTCGAGCTTCTCTAGAGCACTTTTAAAGAGGAGAATGAGGATCAGAAAGCAGCCTCGGCAGTTGCCTGCATGTCGAGATTCTTTTCTACCATGCGATTTGCAAGTGGAAGGCTGGAGCAATCGTGAATATTCAGAGGTGGGTAATGGAGGGATATTTTTCTCGGAGAAAGCAGGAACAGTGGGCTCCGGAGAGCAATTAGTTGCCGGGACTTTTGCACCGCAGATCATCCAACATGTCAACTCTGATCCCGATGCGACTAATATGTCAAGGATGCCGGAGTTGGCGCAATCTGGCCAGTTGCAGCTTGGGCATGTCCAGTTTATTCCTGAGAGGACACTTGATTTGAATGCTCTGGTAGACAAGGTTCAGGACCAAGATAGGAGCGATCTGCCAGGAAGTAGACAGAGTGGCAGTTTGCAACCCCGATGTGGAGGTCTTAATTTTGTTGACAAATCACATGGGGGTTTGGTCCGTGGTCAATCGTCAAGTCTATCCATAAACACGGAGACTACAAATGTCGATCAGACGAACTTATCTGGCCCAGCATTACATCCTGAAAGCTGCACACAACAAGACGAAGACGAAGACGAAGAAGAAGATGAAGAAGATGACAACCCTACAAGACACTACGTGCGGAGGAACGGCTTTCGGCACGGCGGAGACAGCGGTATCTCAATTCAATCTGAGGAAAACATCCCGGACGAGGACACAATTGCATCAATTACAAAGGTAAATTCGCCCGAACACTCAGAGTTGTTTAGTACGATAACCTAAATATGTACCTAGTCGGTGTTGTCGTCTTCAGAAACATTATTTATGGTATGGATGTTTTCGGGTATCCTGCAAGTACTCACATGGAGATTTTTAATTAAGTTATTTATTCTTGCTTTCACTGGTACAATTGCATCTGACACCAAAACCTGGAAATCAATCTGAGAGCAGATGTTTTATGTGTTTTTGAGCTTTATGATTCCAATGACAATTTTCAGACAGAATAATTCGAACCAGCCGTTGTTTGTGAAATCTACTTGCATTCGATTATGACATGTGCTAGAAAAATTAGGATGATCTACGAATCCATGGTTTCTTATAGGTAATTTGAGGTCACATTCCGGTGAACCCTAGCTCTAGAACTAACAAATGAGCCAATTTCGCCTTCAACCCGCAGAAGTTGAGACTCTCAAAGTTGCAGAATAACTTGTCTTTTAAGCGGCATCACAATAAAGCTTTGGTGCTTTCAGAACCAAACGCCACAAGTTACGCCTCCCCGGACATTTCTGGTGGCACTGATGCTAACAGTGGTCAATTACCCTTTACAGGGGTTATTGTGGAAATTAGCGTTCAAACCGACTTGTAACTTACTTTCAAGGGAATTTTCATTCAAAAAATCTGTGTTTTCATGCAGACCAACCTGTACGAATGCGACCAGTTCCCCGATTCTGAGCAAAATTCAAAACTCTGCACTCCCGATACAGCTCGCAACAGACACTTACGAAGATCAGGCATACCCTTCCACGGCAATGAGGACGACCATCATCCCTCAAAGGAGCCGGAAGGATCGTTGTTGCACTCACTCTACTTGCAGTTGCTAGCAGCTGGTAGGGAGGGCATTTCGTTGCGGGGGCTTTTTTCCAGTTTTAAATCTCAGACATCGTTGCCAAGGCTTGCACACAACTGGAGAGAGCAAGTAAAAGCTCACTTGAAGAATGGCCCTTATTTTGAAGAAGTGAATGGGCGCTATCTTTTATGCGAATTTCTTGTTCAGCCTTCAAAGAGAGCTTCCAAGAGAAAGGAAAGCTCAGAAAGTCCAGGTGAGAAACACAAATCGTTGTGATTAGAGAATTTCCGCAAATTGTTGTTCACGGGAAGGAATTTCATATTCATCGAGGCGTGGAGTTTTACAATTGTAGATAAGTACCTTCCCAACTCGTCTATTGAACGATGCACACAACCCTAAGTTGTTGATGCACCTGATCGTGCAGGCGTACAGACTCGAAGGAAAGCCTACCAGAAGACAATCGAGGCTGTTCTTTGTGAGTCAGCAATAGAGTTTCAAAAGCAGCAAAAACATAACGACAATGGTGAACGTAGTGGTGCTCCGAGCTTGTCTATGCCGATGGAGTCCAACGAATCAGATTTGGATATGGCAGAGCCGAAACATACGAAGCCCAAAACTGCCCCAAACCGATCCTCCAAGAATAGAAAATCCAGAGCAGGTGATGAGGACTCGCAAACTCACAGGAATATCCGATTTGGAGGCGCCATTCCGGGGTCTTTGAAGGCAATGCAAGCCAGAATCATAGCAGAAACTGGAATACAGGATGGAATCAGGTGTGCGAGAAAGGATGGGAGCAATGATTCCTCGAAATGGCAGTGTCCCATGATGGCCATGGAGGGTCACACTCTTTGCGAACACCACAGCTTTCTGAATGAAAGGAAGAGGGCTCGATATGCTAAAGCCAGAAAGCATCATGGTGAGGGCACAGCGGGGAAATCGCAACGAAGTCGACAAACGATGAGGGTGGCCTCAGAAGTACCAAAAAAGCATCACATGACACATGATGTGCAAAGTCCCTCAACACCCAGGCTAGAGCTTTACAAGAGTGATAGCGATGACCTTACAGGCCTTGATGAAGTTGCCAGCCAGGCTCTGTTAACCATGAAGAGTGACATCCTCAATGTTGAAAGTTTTTCCCAAGAGACGAAAGTGTACGTATCGAATCTTAACTCTTTAGAGATGAAGGTGGACAACTCAAAAATTGTCAATGGAGAAACGACCGCAACCTCGGATAAGCCAGCCCCACCTCAGTTCGCAAGGTCATCCACAGGAAGATTCATTGCAGCCAAGAAGACCGCAGTTAGAATTCCTCCTCACTCTCTTGATACTGATCCATCAATTGGGAAATCGAATGTGCCTTTAATGCGTCCCCCTTCCATCCCACCCTTACCCGCGTTCTACGGAGCAAGAAGGAAGACCGTCAAGAACAGGTCCTTGTTGTCCATTAACTGATAATCAAGGTGAGACTCTATTGGAGTTGACTCGCTCTTTGACACCCATTTCATTTCATTTCATTTCACATAACATAGCAGAATTGATTCACGGGACTCTTTAGATGTGTCGGCGGTTATTGATGATTCCAGAATAAACCTGTGCACATGGCGTCATGTAACCTTACTGGTAATACAGATTTAACTTCCTCTCCCCGTTGTCCACGTACATTGACTGCTTGATGGTTTTACTGCAATGATTTTGCAGGTTTTAAAAACTCTGATATTGATATTGGAATGATGTTCACTGGCTCTTCCGCATAAATGTATGAATGACCCAGTTTTACTATTACTTCGAAGTTACACCTGACTGTCTCGAGAAAGCAACTTCTAGTTTACTGACTTTCTCCAGGTAGTGCAAGTTGTCTCTCTCAAATCCTTGTAGGATTTCTGACAACCGCCAATTGCCATCTGTTAAAGGTGTGTGAGAATCTCTGCAATCGGACTGCAAATGTATTCATGTTCGTATAGATTGTCGTTCTGGTTAGAAGTTGTTTATGGTTAGCAATTGTCTGTCGGGCTTTAAAATATCGTCTCTAAATCTTAGAGAAAAATAGAAAAGAATTCGGTATGACTTCACTCTCTCACACTTGTGCACCATCTTGCTCTTACCCTTCAAGAGAAGATGTGAACCAACTGCATAGGATTTGACTTGCTAATTACAACATAATTTTATCTCAACTTGGGGCACTAAAATCGTTTTACTGAAGCCTGACTGCCAACAGAGTGAAAGACCAACGCCATCACTTTCATCTTCATCGCCGGTGAACAGGATGAGAAGCTGTCATCATTCATCATTTTCAAACTAAACTAGATTCCAAGCTTATCATGAGTTTTTTTTAAAATACATTGCAGAACCATACAAGTCAATGAAACATTCCTATTTGATTCCACATAAGGATCCATCGAATTTGGATACTTAAAAGTCAGACTGATACCGCCTTGTCGCCGTCGCTGAACGCCAACTACCGCCGAACAACCGCCAATCCCACTGCCGTTGACCGCCAATTGTCGTCGAACAGTCGCCGACCTCGCCGCTGACTGTCGCTACCGCTGCCGCCCAGCCGCCGTCTCCTTGCCGCTGCCGCCCTACTATTGCTACCCTAATGCTGTCGCCATGCCGCCGCTCCTGACTGCTGCCGTCGTCTTGCTGCTGCTCTGCTGCCACAATCGACAACCTTGTTTTAAAATAAATAAATAAATAAAAATCAGTTAATTAAATTTTTTTCAAGTTCAATTTTATCATTTTATTTGACTTTATATTTTAAAATGATTTTATTCAATTTTTCTAATTGATATTGTATTTCTTTTATAGATTTATTTATAATGAGTGCTTCAACATCTTCAACTGCTTCTACTATGGTTCCAACTGTTACCAATGCATCCCAACATTTTCAAGCTCTTTTATTTCCATCATTAACTATGGATGGAAACAATTATCTATTATAGGCAAAAATGGCAAAAGTAAATTTATTTGCAGAACAACTCTCGGATGCCATTATATTTGAAGAATCTCCTACAATAAGTATTTCTATTCGTCCTATTATCCGTTGGAAAGCACTTCTTTTCCTTCATTGTCATCTTGTACCTACATTACAACATCAATATTTGGAGATAGAAGATCCTGCAAAACTTTGGAAGAATCTTAAATCCAGGTTTGATCATCAAAAGACCATTTTCCTTCCACGTCCATGTTATAATTGGACACATTTATGTATCTTTGATTTTCCAAATTTAAATGCTTTCAATAGTGAAATGTATAGTATTATCTCACAATTATGATCATGTAGACAAAGCATCTTTTAAGAAGAAATGATTGAAAAAATTCTCTGTACATTTCATCTTGTATTTACTATGCTTGCACAACAATATAGGAACATGAAATTTCAGAGTCATTTTGATCTCATGTCCTATCTACTTCTTGCGGAGAAGAAAAATGAACTACTCTTATGCAATGCGGAAGCTCATCCTATTGAAACCACAGTTCCAGAATCTCATGCACTTAATATTTCAAAGTCTAAGAAAAAGTTATATAAACATGGAAAACATGCTCATAAGCATCAAGGCAATCATAATCATGACCATTTCTATCCATATGGAAAGAATAAATATTCTATTATTAATTATAATAGAAAATAAAAATCAAAGATGTGTTCTTGCCATAAATGTAGAATGATTGGATATTTAGCACATGCATGCCGACTCCAGAATATTTTATTAAAATATTTTAAGAAAATAAGAAACTATGAACTAAGACTTGTGAAGTTCATACCATAGATGCATCCATGGATTCAATTGGTGTTGATGATTTAGAAGCTTATATAAATGACAAAATCTCTAATGATGAATCAAATGATATGCTCATTGATTCTGCAACAACACATACTATCTTGCGGGATAAACAATTTTTTTATTGAAAAATCTTCAACTTGGCAAACTAAAAATATGATGACCATAGCTGGAGCAAATGCATTTTGTTTCCAAGAGGGCACAACAATGGTAAAATTACATGCGGATTCCATCATCAAATATAAACATGCAATGTTTGTACCCTCAACATCTCAGAGTCTAATTAGCTACTGAGATATGCGTATCAATGGTTATCACCTTTCAACCACCATTTTAAATAGAAAAGAGGTTTTGGTTCTTACAAAGATTATAAAGTTGTTGAAAATGCTTTTGCTATAGAAAATAGTTTATATCAAATTATGATTTGGCCTCCCATTATATTTAATTTTGCATCATCTATCACAAAGAGTCGTGCTTCTCTCTAGCATGGATGATTGGGACATCTAGGATCTATATTATTTAGAAAGATCATTCCATGTATAACTGAGCATAATTTAAAGCATGTAGATGTAGACTCTATAGAATTATGTCCTGCATGTGTGCAAGGCAAGATGATTACTTGGCCTTCAATTTGGAAACTTCTATAAGAATTACCACTAATGCTTGAAAGATTGCACGGTGATATTTGTGGTCCTATTAATCCAACATTGGGACCATTTTGTTATTTTTTGGTCCTTGTTGATGCATCAAGTAAACAATCACATATTTTATTATTATCAATCTAAAACATGGTTTTTGCCAATCTTATATTTAAGCTTATTTATTTTTGGATAAATTTTCTTAATTATCCCATAAAAAAATTATGTATGGATAATGCAAAAGAATTTGCATTAAAGTCTTTTGAAGACTATTGTACTACAACAAGAATTGAGTTGACATATTGTGTTTTATATGAACAAGCTCAAAATGGACTTGCAGAGTCATATATAAAGTGTATACAACTGATTACCCGGTCACTCCTCCTTCACACAAATTTACCTGCATCTATGTGGGGTCATACAATATTACATGCTGTAGCATTAATATGCCTTCACCCTTCTTCTCTTAAAATTGTTTCACCACATGAGCTCATTTCAGGTTGTGTTCCAAATGTATCTCACTTACGAGTATTTGATTGCCATACTTAGATTCCGATACCAAAATCTCAACGGCGTACCATTAGAGCTCATTGACAAGAAAGCATATATGTTGGTTTTGATTCACCAAGCATTATTCATATTGTTGATCCATCAACTGGCACATTATTACGTACATGTTTGCAAAATTGCCGTTTTGAAGAGAATATATTTCTATTTCTTCAAGGAAGAGTATCCAATCAACAAAGAAATAAAGTACTTGTATTTGAAGCACTAAAAATATTTACTATAAATCTTGATCCTAGAACATCTTTAGCTGAAACTCAAGTTGCTAAGATTTTGCATCTAAAACAGATCGCACATGAAATACCTGATGGCTTCAATGATGCACTTAGAATTACAAGAATTTCTATAAATGAGGCTCAAAATGCACCTACTCAGATTTCAGTGCCACTAACTACAATACGTCAAGTTATAACAACAACAACTAAAAGAACTCCTATACCAAATAAGCAACCACGTAAGAAGAAAGCTATAATATTGACTAATCCTAGTATGATTTTTCAAGAAATTTCTACTTATCTTATGGAACCACCAATTCATGATGATATATCCATGCATAATGTATCTTCAATTCTTGTGAAAAACAATCTTGGAATTAGAAGGAATAAGAACAAGTTGAATAAAGAATTACCTATTCTGTATTGTGCTATAGATGATATTTGGGACAGACCATCTATTACGATAGATGAATCATTTGCATGTATGATTATAGAAGCCCTTTATTGTAAGCAAGATGATCTTAAACCTCAAACCATTGAGGAAGCGATGTGTTGCTCTGATTGGTCAAAATAAAAAACTTCTACTGAGGAAGAACATGCTTCTTTGCATAAGAGGAAAGTCTTTGGTCCAATTGTAGACACTCTTACATCTCGCCATGTAGGATATAAGATGGTATTAATATGCAAGCGAGATATTTAGGATTAAATAATTAGCTATAAAGCTCTTCTTGTTGCTCAAAGATTTATTCAACGATTTGGCATTGATTATGAATCCACATATTCTCCAATCATGGATTTAATTACATTTTGATATATTATTAGAATGGCACTTCATGCCACCCTTGAGATGCATCTGATAGATGTAGTAACTGCATATCTATATGGTTTTCTTGATGCAAATATTTATATGAAAGTTTCACCTGACTTAGAAACAAGAACTCCAAATGGACCTACTCTAAGATAATATCATGGTATTAAATTATGTAAGGCCTTGTATGATTTAAAACAGTCCAAATACATGTGGTATCAATAACTTCGAGATTATTTAATTGCACATAAGTTTCTAAGTGATCCACTAATTCCTTATTTGTTTATTAAATGAGATAAAATTCGTTTTGTGATCATCACTGCATATATTGATGATCTTAACCTAGTGGGCACTAACTTTGTATGTATTGTAGCTATTAACCTACTTATACGTGAATTTGAGATGAAAATGCTAGAAAAGATAACTTTTTGCATTGATCTTCAGATCATGCATCTCACAAATGGTAGCATTTTTCTATATCAACTAATGTATATTAGATTAATTATGATTGATGCTTATCCATTGTCTACACTAATGGTTGGACGTGGTCATGATGGTCATGATTCATACTGTCCATGCGAGGAAGAAGAAGAAATATTGAGAGATCAATATCCATACTTTGTAGCAATTAGAACACTTTTATATTTGACTACATTTATAAGACCAAATATTGCATTTGTAGTTAGTATTCTTATAAGACATAGTGCACGTTCAACACTATGATATTGGAATGGCATCAAATATTTATTACATTATTTAAAAGGTACTAAAGACTTAGGATTATACTACATACAATCTGCACATCCAAAATTAATTGGATATTATGATGTGAGATATAAATTTGATATTGCAACAGCTAAATTTAAAAGAAGATATATATATTTAAGACATGAAGCTGTAATATCATGGAAATCAGTGAAAAAAATAATAAATTCAACTTCATCCAACCATGTAGAAATTATTGGCTTATATGAAGCATCTCAAGAATGTATTTGGTTGAAATCAATTGATAAATTCATTCAAACAATCTATGGATTTTTATATGTTGATTTTTTAACTA